AATGAAATATTATGGACATGGTGCTGTGGGTGGCACTTGACATGTTATAAAAAAAAAAAGGCAATAGAAAATCATATACTATAGTAATTTTATTAACTGATTTGTATCCCCCATCCTGGATTGTACTATTATATAACGTCTATTTCAGGCATGTTGCTACGGGAAACTGTTTGGGATTAGAAAAAATGCATGTACAGTTGCTTTGAGGTGAGGAGGGGGGGGGGGAGCGGCGGCGCCTGTGTTGTTTAACGCTTTATCTGTACGTTGAATGAGGTTGTGAAATTTTACACACCTTATACTATGTATGTTTTTGGAAGTTTCGCGGTAACTTCTAACAGAATTTCTCTTGGAACTTGCATGGGTTTCTAATTCGCCAACAACAGTTGAAATGTGTGGGTTGTACATGTGTATAATTTTCGCTAACAACAGATCTACCCAGTTGAAATGTGTGGGTTGTACGTGTGTATAATCTGTCAAAACGTCATAAAACAGAACGTGATATTTTAATGACGAGAAGTGTAAACAATGAGAAAAAGACCCACCACATCGTGAGTTCTTAGAACTTTTATATTTATTCATAAGGGTTTAGAACAACCACACTGTTATGTTGTTTCTCCACGTAATCGAAAGTGAGGCAAGTTTTATTGCAAAGAGCTAGAATTTAAACGTTTTTCATTCTGTACGGTGTCCCAAAAGTTGGATGTCGTAAACCGAATACCTAAATATGCTTAATACGTCCTTTCTTAAAATCGATACACCACTAAAAACGTTCAATCCAAATCGCATCCACACGGTCTTCAACGCTCAGTGCCATTTTCTCAATCACCAAAAACCAGTAAAGAAACCTAAGTGATACCTTTATGGAACCTGTACCAGTTAGCCATCTCGGCTATGTACCGTGATATCTCCTATGATATGAGGCTTACATGGATCAAACATGTTTAATTAAAAGCTATTAAAAATTCTGTATTATAAGCAGCTTTCAGAGTAGTGTCCCGGTAAGCTTGAGTGCTTTTAATTCGAGGTTCGGTCCATGTAGTGACTACAACGGATATCATTGTGTAGGTTTGTGCTTTGCAACAAAACGAGCTCTCATAGTATCTAAAACAGTTCCTACAAGGTTTA